CATCGGGGTAGGCAGAAACATCAGTCTTCCACTTACTACGGTCCTGACACACATCTTTCGCCTCATCAACACGCATCAATGCTTTCATACATCGTCGGTGAAGGGTACTATTGACCTGGCCCTTCCTTAGGATGGCCTCAATTTGGTCATGGTAAGTTCGCCTTGGTCGGGCCATACCAACTTGACCGCTCACACTCGCCTTATAAATCGGTTTCGTCAATCTTCTTTCATTCATTCTCTCTACTCTTCAGCTTCCGGTCTTGCACATTGCTATTCGGTCAGTACACTGCTGACTAGTTTAATAACGTCACGTGGTAAATTTAAGTCTGGTCAGGTTGTCTGTCCATGTCACGTGAACGTGAACGTGAACACAGAGTTACCATCTGTATTATGGAGATTAGTTATTGGTCTATATCTAGCATCTGCAAAATAAGATCTACAACCCATCGTAATCGTTTTTGTAATATTATTTAGTTCACAGCGCGTTTACGCAATACGTCCGATTCTTATCAGGGGTCTACTCTCGACCGAAACAATTACTGCCAAATGTGCTATGGACACATACATAGACCACCACAAATTACAACCAAACTTACGAGATCAATAAATGTAGGCCATAGAAATATTTCTCCAGACCCGGGATCAAAACTGCATGGTAGCCGCTCGGGAACGCAGGCAGTTATATTACTTATTTGACTAATGTAATAGTTTCTGATGGAAAACGGGAATAGCTCCCGAGTCAGAAATCCGAGATAATATGACGGTCCAAAATAACACAGGCACCACTTTATCTCTAGATATACAAGCAACATTCATATTTTCCCGGATTCGTATCGGACTTAGTGCACGAGCGACATCCGAAGTGGGTCCAAGTTTTCTAGATTTGTGTAGTCTCGGATTCGGAAGGAATACGAATCAGTAGGCTGATTTTAATTCAAATCGGGACCGGTCCGATCGGGTAGCCCATCCGAGTCTCGAAACCAGATGGGTTTCCGAGCGAGAAGAACAACCTGATTCCTACTATATCTTTTTAATTTGTGAGTTAAATCAACTATTGTTCCGATTAGAAATGTCAAAATTTCCGATCGGGAGAGGCAATCAAAATCAAGCTGCAGGTGCCAATATCTCCAAAATTCCGAAATTCAAATGCTTTATGGAAGGCAGATTTTTTAAAATAGAATTACACAACGTCTATAATACTTACGTAACCAAGAGCAGAAACAACTACAGCGAAAAGAAAACAAATTCGATACATTTTCACTTTAAATTTGAACTGCCCTAGTTTTGAAGTTACTCTTTTTATATAGGACGAATGCTGTTATGAAATGTTGCTTTATAATTTATGAAATTGTGCGTACAACACGTTCGCTTTCATAATTGTTTTAAAGACGATAATAGAAGGGCTAGACACGTGACACGATCATGCAGGTAAAAGTAATGTTTTTTTTAAATTATATCAAGTGACCTGATGGTAAGCTACACACCTGTCCGTAACAGGTGCAGTGCTACACAGAGCTTTAAATCGCAAAGATCTCACGGGCACTCTCACTGCGCCCGTCACCCTGAGACGTAAGTTGACAAGTCCCATGTGCCTGTAATTTCACCCGCAACGCTTTACCCTTCAAAATCGGAACTCAGTAATGCTCACATTACTGCTTGGCGGCAGAAATAGGTAAGGTAGCAGTACTTCCCCGGAAGAACTGTTTCACAAGACATTCTACTGCTACAAACGGGCGAAATAAGACTGCCCAAGCGTAGCTTAGGGCGCATTTTCAATAATGCCGTAACATTTTCAAAGTGAAAGTCAAAGATCATTTATTCCGTAGGTAAAATCAACTTACACTTGAAAACGTCACATTTACATATCATTACATTAAGCAACTGCTCGTTCACTACGCTGACTTCCCTGAGAAGAACGAGCAAGAAACTCTAGGGATTGCTCTTTTCAAATAAACTTAAATGCTATGGAATACACTTTGAATCAAATTTGTGTGGATTCTGGAGCCGTGTCGTCTTTCCATACATCTTTATCTAACACGTAGTCTTCAATTTTGTTATATGACTTTTCAATCAAAATATTTTTAATGTAGTTTTTAAAACGAAACTATAATCTTAATATATGCTCCGGAATCTTATTGTAAAAACGTATACAGTTCCCCATAAGAGTCGTTTACTTTAGTTAAACGAAATCGTGGTACCATGAGTTTGGACTTAGCTCTAAGGTTAATATTATGGATATCTTCTTTCTTATTGAAATTATGTATATTTTAACGGGCATATAAAATATTTGAGTAAATGTACTGTGATGCCACAGTCATGATACCAGTCTCCTTAAACTTTTCTCTGAGAGAAACCGGACAGCCTAGACGGAACACAGAACGAATCGTTCGTTTTTGCAATACAAATATGGTTTGAATATCTGTCGCTTTACCCCACATTAGAAGCCCGTAGGACATTATACTATGGAAGTAACTAAAGTAAACTAGTCTAGGAGTACTAACATCGGTAAGTTCACGTATTCTGCGAACTGCGTATGCAGCGGAGCTTAATCTGCTGGCCAGGAAAGATTAAGTGGAAACCATTGAAGTTTATTATCTAAGGTCACTTCCAAGAAGACTGCTTTATTAACAAGGTCTAACTTTTCTCCGTTTATTTCTATGCTTGAACTAGTCGATTTCACGTTAGGTAATTCAAATTTAACATATTTTGTCTTCTTGGCATTAAGCAATAAATTGTTAGCATTAAACCATTGACTTACAAATAAATGGACGACGGGTCTAATACAAATACCACGAAAAAAATGTCCCAAGTCAACCTATTCGAAATTTAAATTGTAATGTCATCGCAGTATCGCGCTGTCAGTAGAACAAATGAAGACTAAAGCGGAGTGTCGCGCTCTGTATACGATTTTAGCGCCTTACAAGTGCGGACACTTTTTAGCGCGGACCCGACGTCCATATAATTGTAAGTCAATGCATTAAACCAATAAACTACCCTAGAGAGGGTATCATTAATGTGGTCATAGTTAATGTCATGTCTGTCTGTTTTAAAAATCCAGGATGTGTCAGCAAACAATACTATTTCGCAATGGTCCTTAACAAAGAATGACCGATCATTAATATAAATCAGAAATAAGAAAGGTATTGAGCCCTGCGGAACACCCATGTTTACCGAAGAACCCAAAGAAATCACTCCATTTATGTCTACTGTCTGTATTCTACCATTTAGATATGACGAGACAAGTTTCGACGCCTTGCCGTTTACACCGTAATATTCCAGCTTCCTAATAAGAAAGAAAGAAAGAAAGAAACATTTATTCAGCTTAAGGTAATTCAAGCTAAACAGATAATTCACATTAACTATTACATATACCTATCTATAAGCTGAAACGGATCCAACTCATCACGGTTTATTTAAAAAAATTAAATATGTAAACACCTAAAATGTTATATTTTTTACAGGTAGAGGTACTTTTAAATAAGGTAACCAAGGTATTTTTGAAATTGAGTGTCCAAATTTACCATTACTTAGTTAGTAATTATATTCACTACATATTTATCGGCAATACAAATGGAAAATTCGAAAACCCTGTCGACTATATTACATCTCATATTGATACAATAAATCTGTATTATATATTACTCTGCACTAAATAAATGAGGAAAACTTTACCTGAATGAGTCTCAGGCATAAGATTTTTTACCAACCTCGTTTCATCTTTCGGAAAACGAACCATTTAGATGATGATAAACAGCGGTACACAGCAGAATTCACGACCATTATAAATAGTAACGTACAATGATGTTATATATTAACGTACAAGTTTCGTAATGAATAAATGAAAACTGTATTTGAATTTGAATCATATTCAAATATTAAAGCCGTCTTAGCGTGAGAACGGTGCGCCGACAGCCTTCTTGAAGTTCAGTCTGTGACCGTTAATGTGCGGGACGTGGTGCGGTATCTAACGCTAGGGAGGGGCGGAAAGTGTCCATTTTCGTAACTTTTTTATTCTCTGCTTTGAACGACAGAATCACTTGAAGCTGCGATTATCTGTCGTCACTTTTTTACCGTAACGATTTATTTATCGTCAGACGACTGTGGTTCTAGCTCTTACCATTGTCACGACAGTCTATCGTCGTAACGACAAACGTAAGGTTAAATCCCAACTAAGCGCGCTTCCCCAGACAACTTACATTTAAGGGTTCAACTATTAGTTTTGTTGGACTATCAAATCGCCCTTGACGTTTATAATACGAAAAAAGAAAACCATTAGTCCTTCTAAAATATCTATATTATACACAGTATAATAATAAAGGACACAAAAATATATCTGATATATTTTAATACAATATAATTGTATCGTGTAATGAACAACAATGTACACTTCGCAATACATTCTCGAACATACTGAATAGTAACTAACACAAGTTCTATAAAACTCTGGCTACAAAATGCGGTCCTAAGCCTAAGCGATATTATGATACAGGAAATTCCCTGGTTCGACATCAGGTAACCACACTTTGAGGGGCGGTGGTTCAGTGGAAGAAAAGAAGCTTCTTATTTAAGAAGTCGATGTTTCGAATCTCTGTGGTGACATGTACCTGACTAATTTCTAAATTATGTACATTTATGATTTTGTTTTTCAAAATGAAAATGTCATAAGGTACAATTTCTGTGAATTGTGAATAAAGAATTCGGAATCAAACTGCCTGAGATGTGGTTTCGTGTAGTTTTGGAGTCAGAAACAAAAGAGAGCGATTTACACTATGGATAACGTGACCATTATTTTTTTCCCTTAGAGCGAGACACCTGACAATTTATTATTGTTTTAAAAATAAAATACATGTTCATGATTATTACGAAATATTTAATAATTTAATTGTAATATATAAAAAATAAATGATTAAAGATCAAAAAAGAAATAACAAATTTGTGTGGTCTGACGGGCTAGCTTTATATATTTTAAGGCTCATCCCTTAAAATATATAAAGCTTAATATATATAATAAATAAAATTCTTTTTGAATACGGTTTACGTTTGAACTCTACTTCATGGCAGCCGCCGCCAACCGTACATCACCGCCAAAAACAATGCACGCGCAGCACGGACCCACAACTAAAAGAACCGCGACAAGGCTTACTTGGTGCTTCGCTTTCGCGCCATTATATTAAATTTATTCATGTGTCCAGCTCTGTCAAAGCGAGACTTTTTAAGTCCTTTGGGGACAGCGAGACACGAAGCTTAAAAACGGAAGTCTCCCGCTTAAAGCAGGACGTATGGTCACGTTAACTATGTATCGCCCTTTAAACATTATCGGGGTACCCTCTGGGCGTTTCCAACACGAACTAAATATTGATATTTTGTAGTGCCATCGTGCGAGTTCACCACGTACTAATTGATAGGACCTAGTACACCGCAACGTAGTGTTAAGTAAATAGTAAATACCTAAACAATTTGATCTAGCAAAACAGATTTTCCAGCTTCTTCTCCGATGACTCGCCTTAAACATTCTGGTATATGTATAATCTGGTGTATCCAGTGATTCATATGAACGTTGTTATCATAATTCAATTAGCGTTCCTCTATATCCTTGAGTGCTTCGTATTCAGTATGGTCATTAATGCAGCGAAATCATAACAAAATCTTAAACTAATTTTGTTCATTCTTTGACTGGCGGTGGTTTACCACTGGCAAGGACACTCTTCATAGTTTTCATGAGACTTGGTATCAACGCGATGTGTTTGTCCACGCATTTTATAGCACAGTTCTCAAATTGAATTGTTGCTTTGTCGATCTGTAAAAGAAATAAACATGGGGTCAAAACGGAGTTCATTGACCTCGGTGACCCAAAGATTCGACTCGGTAGGACCAATCTGGGAAATGATTTTTCTATTGGTTCTGGACAAGGTGTACTGGGGGTAGTTGCTCGGATTGAATTCCGTTATTGAACTGATACAAATCGGACGTAGTGCGCATACACTCTAAGACCGTATCAGGGGTCTACTCTCATTTTCCGTCCGACATCCGTCCGAAAAAATAGCTGTCAAATAAGTAACACTCGACCAATATTAATCGTCGAATATTACTTATTTGACAGTTATTTTTTTCAGACGGACGTCAGACGGAGAACGAGAGTAGACCCCCAGTTCCGAATCCGAGAAATGACGGTCCGAAACGGTTTTGAAATCGTCCAAACAACAAGTAGGCACACCTTGGATCGTTCTTATAGTAAGCGGCTTTGAGCTAAATTTAAATTTTAAATGTTAAGCTAGATGCACATATGTAACCACGCCGTCGCACAGTGGGGCCAAAACTCCAAAACGTGATCAAAAGTCGAAAAACGAAAAATTAGATATTTCGAGGCAAGTGTCACAATCATAATCTCGATGAATTTTGCTATATATTGCTATTAAATACTATCGATTTTGTTTATAAAATAAGAGAAGAAAATTGTGCAAAGTTGGAAACTGACAAAAAAATATATAAAAATATTGTTTTCAGAAGTTCTGAGTATTTTTACTAAAATAATACAAGATATTATTTTGATATAACACTGCAATATTAATTAGTGGTTTTTCGAGAATCGATTATTATATCTTAGTAAGTTTTATATATTTTTTTTTTTTAATAACGCACACACTCAACATAGCCCCGCACTAGGGAAACCCTGTGTTGCGGGTGCCATGGACGAACACATAGACAACCACAAATTACACCCAAACTCACGAGAGAAATAAATTCTTCGGCTGTCCCGATTTTTTTCGCCTCATACAATGAAATGATCCCCTCGTGAAACTGAGACGATTAGCACTAAAAGTAGATTTGATGAATTTTATTCTTTTTTTATGGACAGTTTCTTTGTGTCTTCTATGGTATCGGATTTCTCCATACTGTCCCATTGAAAAAAACACTGTATAGATGTATGTTCGTAAAGAAATATTTTGCATAAATTAACTTATACTAGACAAATAAATAAATTGAAGTTGGATATATTTAAAAAATACATTTCGAAAGTATTTATTAAGTAATTCAGAAGAAAACATTTAAAATAAGTAAATATGGTAAAAATTCGTAACAAAATTCATGTTGGATATGTAAACATAATGACATACATACTAAAAAGTAGTTTAAGTGCATAATAAACATATTATATTAATAATAAATAAATATTTTCATAGTTAGGTATGCAAAGTAATTTTGATCACGTTTTCGGTTTGGCCCCACTGTGCGTCGGCGCGATCCTGCCCGTTCTCGAAGTCTGGTGGAGCCAGCGGAAGTGCGTCACCATGTCCCGACTGACACAGATACTCACTGCGCACGGATGCTTCGGTGAGTATCTGAATCGGATCGGACGCGAGTCGACGACGCAGTGTCACCACTGTGGAGGGACCAGGACTCCGCCCAGCACACACTGGAGGAGGGGGCACTCCTTGGACTCCGTGGACCTCGTAGGGTTCGGGTGAGATCTCTCTCCGCCAGGCATAGTAGCGCCAATGTTGGCGGATCAATAGTCCCATGAGGCAGTGGTCTCCTTCTGTGAAGCGGCGATGTTAAAGAAGGAGGTCGCCGATCGGAGCGGGGGCTTCTCTCGCCAGTAAGTTAGGCAGCCGCGAGGAGAACGACGGGCCGGTGTGGTCCGCTTCGCCGTGGAAAGAGGGGGAGGACGTAGCTCCTCCTAGGTGCTGGGGGGGTTCCGGTGCGCAAAGTCGATCCCGGATCCTTTCCACTAGAGCACCCGAGAAGGCCACCGTGAGGTTTTAGCCGACAGAAGTCCGGATGTACGTAACCAAAATAGATTTTAATATTTCACCGAATGATTATCAGCGAGTTGCAAAATATCTTATGTTTAGGCGGCGGAATTATAATGCTGTTCTTTACTTTATCAAAGCAAAAGTATGGAGCAATAAAGTTAAAAGGCGTTAAAATGGCGTATCTACAGGTGTACAAGCGACATCCGAAGAGGATCCGAGTTTTCTAGATTTGTAGTCTCGGATCCGGAACTATACGAACCGGACGAAGCGCGCAAACGCGCTTACGTAACTTGTAATTGAAGTAATACAACATCGTCAAATGGGTGATAATCAAATTGCAAAATTTGATTCTAATGTTACAAAGTTACAAAACAATCTGATAGAAATACATATTAACAAATATTTCATGGAAAATTGTGTCATAGCATTGAAGCTAAAGCAAAATCGTTATTGAACTACAAATATGGCAAAAAAAATATCGGAGGAAAACTCGAGCTATAAAAAATCGGGAAAATCAAGCTGTAATATGGGAAAAAATAGAGCTAGAATATATTAAAGCTATTAAATACAAACAAATAAAATGTTTATTTCAATAATACAATTAACTTTACATAAACAGTGGATGATACCTCCTATTAAGCTTATCAAGCCTGTGTCAGGAGGTACCGCTGTTCCATAGCTATAAATGCACATATTACATTTTTAACTTTTACTTAATTTAGTGTTTAAATATTAGAATGCGACAGTTTTCTGATAGAATATTTTGTATTACATATTTCCGTGTGCGTGTAACCGCTCTTCACTGCTGGATTGTATAGACAATTCTGGGCAAGCTCAACCCATCGTGGATCTCATGTGGGTAATAAATAAATATATGCTACAATAGTTACAAACTCCATGCGGCAGTACCCACCGTTTCCTGATTGGGTGATGATCCTAGTTTGTCTCGTGCAGAATCATTGCAGTCCATTACACATCTCTGTAATCTGTTTTGTAGGTGGTTGATTTCTCCCTGAAACAATATTTTGTTGTTTATGAGTTCATATTAATTAATTAAATTCCAATTTTTCCTTTACCGAATTGGTTCTATTGCGCGGGCGACCGGCAGGGATACTGGCTTTATTTTAGAATTTATTTTTATACAAACGAAATTAAAGATGAAAATTTGAAAAATGTATAAATTGTATATTATATGCGTTCGATTTAGTTCGGTTGATATAAAAAAATCATTGGTATGTGAAAAGTACCTATTGAATACATCGGTTTTCTTGTAAAATTTCGAGTAAGTTTTTTTCTATCGCGAAAATACATACCGTATACTAATCAACGTATACCGTCAATTGTACTGCATATTTTTTCCAAAGTCATTGGCAACCCTACCCAGAACACTCAGATTAGAGCGAATTTAGAAAAAATCATTTCGTAAATTCTAGGGTCGGTGGACTAAAACACATAAGCCAAAAAAGTGCTTCATTTGTTAATAATATATTTATATATAATTTTAATTATAATATTTTTTGTGTTGTTTATAGTGTTGGAAGATGTGAAGAGAATGGTAAATTTAAAAAAAGGAGCCTCGAGAATAAAGTTACAAATTTATGAGGTAACAAATGAATGATGTTGGATTTTCACTTACGTGCTTTAGTCCGCCGACCCTAGAATTGGTCCTACTGGGAATCGAACCCAGGACTTCCTCAACCAGCACTAAGTTCAAACCATTGGGTCGTCTTAGTAATACCATGGACCAATAACAAAGCAGACTGCTAATTGCGATACAAGAGAGTTTTTGTCTGTAATCGTATCGTCACTCCTCGGAATGATATCCTCCCACTTGAAATCCCCCGCCCCATTAATATGAACTTCCTCCTAACGTTAGTCCATTCTTAACGTGTAGGTTATCTGTCGTTGTAGGTCTGTAGATTCTTCTCTCAGTGAATTCTGCAGAAATTCACTGGTAAATTTTTGAGTAAAAACGCGTGTGTTCCTCAACTTAACATTGACGAATTCATCGATTACTTCGATGGGGCCATAACATTTAAAAGAAGACAAATAACTCGACATTGGCGGAATCATCGATGGTATCTATGGAGCAAGAACATCAAAAGAAGAAGAAGATCAATATTCGACTGATATTACAATGAAAAAACTGACCACGTATATATCATACTAAAGAGGAATTCATTGATATCCACAACCATTTATATAATATAAACTACTTCCAGGCTATAGATCAGCGCCAATTAGATATAAGACAGAATTTTGACCTTTTCAGAGCTACAATCTGTAGTTTGGTGATTCATGGTCCTCTTGAGCCATATATCCATGGCAATACATAATTGTTTGGCAGGGGCTAACTTCTCGAGTCATTGGACTTAGGACGCTATACTATACTTATTTTGTAGAGATGAATCAATTGACAGATGGGCCATTAAAGTTTATAGAAACAGAAAGGGAACTTGAATAGCAAAACATTTTGTAAAGGTTTTTACATACCGGCGCACGGGAAGACATAGGATAGAGAGATTTATGCTATTGCAATTGTAATAAGGCATAAATTTCCCTGAGATCTACCTTGGAGAGAGAATACCGCAGCCAGAGTCCACCTGAAAGGGTAGCGGAAAAGCGTACGGTACGAGAAGCGGAGTGGACGCTGCGGCAAAGTTGACGATTTCAAGTAATTTAACAAAAAGTAATTAGCTTATCTATGAAATGACGATCATTGGACTTTGCAGTAAGCTGGTCGACGATCGCGGTATCGTAAGGAATGTTTGCACCAGTGGACATAAGATCCTCTTCGATATTCTCCCCTGGCGGTCCATCGGTTTGCCCTGACCCTAAACAACTTTTGCTCTGGCCCAAAGAAAAAGGCTTCCAGTGAAACTGACCTGAACATAGTTATTAGCCTGATTCAGTGATGAAGTACATGAGTCAATGCAGCCGTGTACTCTTTCTAGTGTAGTCGCCTGGTCGTCGCAGCATCTGGCTGCACAACGGTGCATATCTCCCTGGAAAAAAAAAATTTGTTTAGTGAGTTACTGTTTCATAATAAAAATTCCATCAATGCATCTAATCTAAACATAAAAAGCTCCATGAGTATGCTTTTATGGGACAATTTTTGCATTAACTATTGATCTTTTTCTTCTTTAGATTTTCAAGATTATCAAAAATTATTATTACTATTTCGATTATCAAATATTATTATTATCTTGAAAACTAATATTACTACAATACAAATATTATTAATTGCATGTACAACAGGTGGCCATATGCTAAATAACCTTCGGGTTACAGGAAAAACTATAAGATAATCATTCAAATTTAAGGCGCAACAGAACACGTATTTAACACATGTATTGCACTTACACAAATGAAAGAATAAAAATGTACTACTTTCCTAATATATTATCAAAACCAAACTA